GTAATCGCTAACCATCAGCCCTCAATATCTTTTCGATTCTAACCATTTCCGCTACTAGAATCCGGATTCAGTCAATTGGTTATTGGATTTTCCGGCTCTCAGATTCATTGTAGATTTGCCGGTTCTCTGATTCTTCTCCGGCATGGACAACTATTTACCAGGTTTAGTATCCTTTGTTTTAATTGACTTTTACACTTAACTTATGCATAAAAGCTGTTTTGAGTTTGATTTAGATTCTGAAATTAGTGCACCAGGTGAGTTGATTTTCTCCGGCCTGGTCAGCTATTCACCAGCTTTTTATCCACAAGGTCAATTGTTTTTATCAATTTTTTGGTATGATTTGAAGTTTATGTATGTGTTTTTCGTTTGTATTTGTTTATCTACTAACATGTTCTCAAATGGATTTTTTTCTTAATTCCTTAATTTATATATTTTAAGTTTCATTTAAGTTTTGGTGCACTAATCACTACAATTTATGCAGTTGTTGGCCCTTTCTTACAAATTGTATTGGAATTATGTGTTATATAATATGGCTAGTTTATCTAAAATTTATTCAGTGTATGATACCATAGTATACATACATGAACGTTTCAACTAACTGTTTTTAAGAAGGCTAATGGCTTAACTTATACTCTAGGTAGGGAGAACCATCAAACAGAGCATCCATTATCCTTGCTCATTTTTGGATCTGCTCAGAAATTGTTATCACTATTTTCTGTTATCACTGAGGTATATACTAATCTTTTAAATCTTTAATTGACCAGCCAATGAGTTGTGATTTCTTTTTTGCATAAAGTAGTGTATTTATTACGTTTACAAAGTTTGATGACACGTCTCTATTTATTACGTGTATGCTTAAATAACTCTCCTTCCCTAAAACATTATCTCTCTGCTTGTGTTATAGGCTAAACCCAATGCGAATTGAATGAGGTGTGTGCTCAAATGCATGACTCTGCTTCCTCAAATAGATGTGAGTTTTAACTCTCTTTAGATTTTTCTCAATATATTATTTAGTTCAAAAGTGCTTAAGTATTTTGTCTCTTATTATTCTTCTCTATGAAGGGACATGTTCCAAATGACCTTGTGCAAGAGGGGTAACCTGTTCTATATGACCTTGTGTAAAACATATTTTTTATTGGGAAAGAATAAAATTTTAGCCTGGACTGCAGAATGAATTGAAGAGGATGCCTCTTAACGGTTCGAGTTGGGAAAGAACCAAATTTCAGAGCTGCCTCAACCACATAAAACTTACGTAACACTTGCATAGTTGCATAAAAGGTAGTTCGTTCATTTTATGCACAATTTCCATTGCGGCATTGCAGCCTTTGTTTATTTGAAGTACTCTCTGTAAGTAATTCAATCACAAAGTTAAAAGTGCAGTGTTTATTTTACCTTTATGTATGCATTCAGGTTTGAGGTTGTGGTCAAGTGCAAATGATTTGTACAGGGTGTACATTTAAGTAATTGTTTAACTATTAAAAAACAGATCATACCTTTTTTTGTATTCATTTAGTTAAGAATGTAATAAGTTGATTGGATAACTTGTTGATTATTCGTGCCGGTGTGTAATGCAGGGGCTTAGTATACAGTATATGAATGAAGTTGCCAGTGAATTAGAAGAAGCCAATTTGATTAGAAGATGGAACCACTCTATTATGAAAGTGGATGGAATGGGGGGGTGTAGCATTGAAGACTATTTAAATACGCACTCGTGTATTAGTTGTTTTGTTAGTGTTTACTTTGTGATGTATTTCACTTTGGTAGTTATGTTGTTTTACTGGACAAAGCTTAAATGTACACACAGAATGTTGTTTTTGTAGTGTTGATTAGTTTAGTCTATACAATTGTTGTTGGAAATATAATTGCAAATTACTATGTGTTTTGTGATTCTAGCATCTTATGATCCTTTTACTTATATATACACAAAGTATATGATAGTACTTCCTATCATTAAAAGAATATAATCACGAAGTTTCCTTATAGTGACTAGTTGTATTAATGACGGGATATTTTGTCATAAAAAGAACATTTTAATGAGGGTAAATAAACTCTCATTGCATACTCATTAATGACAGGATCATATTCCCGTCATTATTTACTTTTAACCGCGGAAGCAGTAGTGACGGAGGGTGACAGGAGATTTCCTGTCATTAAAACTCTTCTGTGATAGGTTTTTGTCTTTTAACTACGGTATCTCCCGTCATGAATGAACACTTTTCTTGTAGTGGTAGATCAGAAACTTCTATCTTGATAGAGGAGCCTACATTTTTGCGAGGTTAGCGAATTGCTATGTTCCTTTAAAACATTTAAATTCTATGTTTTATCCCATTATAGTCTTAGACTATAAGAATTGCTTTTGTAAAGATCATTTTTATTATTAATAAATAGGTGTTTTTCTTTCAAAAAACACATTCATGCAGTTTTACCTCTAAAGTGATTACAATAGTCACACCACTTGTTAAAGTGATTACAATAGTCACATCGATCAATAGTGCAATATTAAGTGTTTTTACTGCAAAATACTTGAATCCAACGGCTGGGATTAATTCTCATTTCTCTCCTAAGGCTTCTTCCCATTACGCTATTATTTAATAATAATTTAGAAAAGATTAATCTAATGGTTTTGATGCATTCTTATTTCTCTCCTAAGATGGTTTTCTCACTTGAACCTAAATCTATAGTTTGGGGAGTGGTTCCTGTGAGAAAGGACTCCTAGAAGAGAAACGAGAATGAATCTGGACCATTGGATTGTATTATGGGTCTGTTTGGTAGTTTACACATTAAAACTTTACATACAAAGTGATTGCATGTAAAGTTTAGGGCCGTAAAATAGTTTGCATGTGAAATAGAAATACACCGTTTGACCATGTGTGTAATCTATTTTTAAATTACACATAAACTCTTTACATTGTTTGTTGTCAAATAAGTTTACATCTGAAAATAACTACACAGCTCATACGTCGCAGAACAGCCGAACAGGACTGCAGGACATACATACACATATGTGTGTATGTTATATACGGAGTGTATACCTTCCAAAAAAATATATATATACGGAGTATATAAACAATTCTGCATGGTTGCTTCATACGAAGTATTTTTCAGTCCCATTCTTTGTTTAATCCCCAATTATGTCCACAACTATCAAGTACAAACAACTTCTGTACAAAAAACGTACTACCTCGTAACTTAAAAACCTTCCCATTTCAAAAGTAGATAGATTAGGAATAGTGAAAGAGGATATGAATTGAGGGTATGATAGGAAGATAGTGGAATAATGTGATGAAATATAGGATAAATCCAAAAAAAGTAGTTGTATTAGTGTATTATTTTCAGAATTATTGAGGGTATGATGGGAAGATTTAGAAATGAGAAGATTTTTTTGTTACGGACGAAAAAGGAAAGTGGGAAGATTTTTATGTTACGGTGGTAGTATGATGGTTGCTACTACACTATTATTAGTTCTCATTATAGTCAAGGGGTGCAGGGGGCAGGGCACCATGCTTCCTTATCAAGGTTAAGCATGTTATAATTTCTGAACATACTCTGTATTTGCTATTGCTTCATCCAATTTAGTCCGTCTATGTACGTTGATTTGAATGCTCTATATATTTATTCTCCTAAACGGATGTAAACTAGTTTACTATCTTCCCCAAGTAAAATAATTTACATGGTACTCTGTAAAGTGTTTTTAAAAAGGTGTCCTACAGTTTACATCAAATAGTTAAAACAAACAGTGTAAAATGTTTACATCCCCACACTTTACACGCAAAGTGATTGCTATACATATAATAACAAACGGGCCCTATGTGAAATTAGATTGTGCATATGGTAAACTGAAATGTGCATTGAGTGAAATTCAAATGTGCAGAATAAAAGGCACAAAAGTGCCACCACATCGTAGATTTTATTCTGCACATTTCAGTTTCACATAATGCACATTTCAGTTTCTCCTAATGTACAATTCAGCTTCACATAATATCAGTATGCCTTACATTTTGTGCTGCACATTTCGATTTCACCTTATGCACATTACAGTTTCACTTAATGCACATTCAATTTCACAGAATACAATCTAACGGTCAAGATCCATTCTCATTTCTCTCCCAAGATCATTTTCTCACTTGAACCTAATTCTATATATATATATATATATATATATATATATATATATATATATATATAGAGAGAGAGAGAGAGAGAGAGAGGTCTTCTTGTCAGGCCGGCCTGACGGGATGCTCCGTCCGGCCGAGCCCGTTTGGGAACCTTCTCGGTGGAATTTTTTGATGAATTTTTTTGAGCATGTTCGTCATCAAGTCTAGTTTGTTCATACTAAATTTCATCTCAAAATTCGATTGGGGAGGCATTCAAATCATTTTTTGAAGTTGACTGCGTCAAAGTATACATATAAAACTGCAGTCAACTTCAAAAAATGATTTGAATGCCTTCCCGATCTAATTTTGAGCTAAAATTTGGTATGAACAAACTAGACTTGATGAAGAACATGCTCAAAAAATGTCATCAAAAAATTCCATCGGGAAGGTGCCCAAACGGGCTCGGCCGGCCGGAGCATCCCGTCAGGCCGGCCTAACATGAAGATTTGTCTATATATATATATATATGTGTGTGTGTGTGTATATATATATATATATATATATATATATATATATATATGTAGAGGAATGCTCCTGTCCAGACGTCCGGACAGGAGCCGCCGTCCGGCCGGCGGCGTTTGGCCGCCTTCCCGGTGGAATTTTTTGATGAAATTTTTATGGCATGTTCTCCATCAAGTCTAGTTTATCCACAAAAAAATTCAGCCAAAAACTCAATCGGGAAGGTCGTCAAATGATTTTTGCAAGTTAACTGGTCCGGAAAATACATATTCCGGACCAGTTAACTTGCAAAAATCATTTGACGACCTTCCCGATTGAGTTTTTGGCTGAATTTTTTTGTGGATAAACTAGACTTGATGGAGAACATGCCATAAAAATTTCATCAAAAAATTCCACCGGGAAGGCGGCCAAACTCCGCCGGCCGGACGGCGGCTCCTGTCCGGACGTCTGGACAGGATCTTTTCTATATATATGTATGTATATATATATGGTATCGAGGGGTTTGACGATGACGGATCTTCCGGCGGCACCTTTGCGGTCAACGCAACAGATCAAACCGGCCTGGATTGGGAAATCGTTTGCTGATATAGTTGCAACTCGCGAAGGTAACCTTAACACTCAGAAATCGCGCTTTAAGGGACTGCCTTCTATTACGTTTGAGTCTGGAGATGTTCAAAGCCTGGCAGATAAACATAGAAGAGCGTTGATTGGTTATTTCTTTAAAGGAAGGCCCAGCTTATTGATTGTAAGGAAATCTTTTGAGATTATTGGTTTTAAAGTGAAATTCTAGTTAGGGTTACTTTATCCTAAACATGTTCTCATTCACATTGAATCGGAAGATGATTATTTGCGATGTTGGAATAGACAGACTTGGATTATACATGGTAACCGTATGCGTGTTACCAAATGGTCACAAGTTTTTCGGCCTAACGTTGAGTCACCTATTGTTCCAGTTTGGATAGCCATGGAAGGTCTTCCTATTCATCTACAGGATAGGAGGGCACTTTTCGAAATTTCCAGCTTGATAGGGAAACCAATTAAAATAGATGCAGCAACTGAAACTCTGGCTCGGCCTGCAGTGGCCCGTGTTTGCATAGAGTTGGATTTGACCAAAGAAATCCCAAATAAAGTGTGGATAAACTGTGGCTCTTATGGATTTGCGCAGCCTGTTTTGTATGAAAATAGACCACGGTATTGTGGTTCATGTCTACATCTTGGTCATAGTGTGGAGAAATGTCCTAAAGCACATCGTGAATTACAACCTAAGGTTATGCCTAAAGAGCCATCTGCTGTGGCTCCTAAGGCGGTGACTTATACAGAGAAATGGATTCAGAAAACTACACAGACTCAAGCAACATAGCCAAGGAAGTTTACAACACATCTCAGAGGAACTGCAGACCAATACATCTCAGGCCCTTATTTTATACAATTCAAATATGCAGTCAACTTCAAACCTATAGAGCTGACTAGCAATGATCCTCCAAGTGATGATGATATTGAAGAGATCATTATGGAAGATCCACCTGCATTGAAACAGCATAAGCTAACTCAGTCCAAGAAATGAAAACTAATCTTCAGGAAAAGGAAAAAGCAAAGGATGACTCTAATTTGCAGTAGCTAGCTCAGGCCATAGAGTTTGACCCAGAACTGGTTTCCAAATCATATAATTCTAATGATGATAGGGTGAAGAGAAATCATACTACTCCAAAACGCCAAAACTGGGAAGAAGTTAAAGCTAAGGCGGAGGCTTTAATCAAACAAAAGCAGGAGGAGGTGGATAACCAACAGGCCCAAACAAAGCAAGTCCAACCTGGTGTAGATACAGAGGATCAATCTGTATAAGCTATAGAGGATCAACCCGCAGAAGCTCAATAAGATCAATATGGTGATGAATCAGTACATCAACCTGTAGATGATAACTCTGCAATCAGGAATGATGAGGAATCCACAGAAGTGAATACAAAAGCAATCCATCATCCTGAAGACATAGGTAAAGAAAAAACTATTGATCAAAATATAGTTACCTCCCCTGATGTGGTACCTGAGACAATCAATAGGGTAAAAGCATCTACAGAACAAGGATCTCAACTGGTTGATGTTGGAGATCAGAAAAGCAAATCACAACCTGCAGAAAAAATACAGTCAGAAGGAGATGAGGGCCTTACAAGAGTGCTCAGCAAAGCTGAAAAAAGAAGAAAAGAAGAGGACAACAGAGGTTGCATTAAAGAGGGTAACTAGAAGTGTTGCTAATGAGAGTGCTAATCCCTCTTCAAAATGAATTGGCTCATTTGGAATACTAGGGGTCTAGAATCCTCCAGTTCTAGACTACATTCCCTAGTTTTACAATGGAGGCTTAGCTTGGTGGTGGTTATTGTAACACCCCGGCCCCGCAGGACTCGGTAGTTATTCTGAACCTCTAGTACTGTCCTCACAAACCACCACGAGCCTTTACCGCGCACTTTGTCCTCACTCATGCGCGCCCTGAGAAACTTCCCAGGGGGTCACCCATCCCAAGACTACTCCCGAGCAAGCACGCTTAACTTTGGAGTTCTTGGCTAATGAGCTCCCTTAAAAGGAGATGCATCTTGTTGGTATGAGTAGTAATATTAATCCGTTTATATTAAATCTCAAGTGTTACAGTTATTGAACCTATTGTTAATGATTCTAGGGCTGATTTTTTCAAAGCTACTTTGGGCTTCTCTAATGTCATGTATTCTTCCACTAATAAAATTTGGGTGTTGTGGAACAATTCTGTTTTAACCATTTCCCAAACTTATTGGAACCCCCAGTTTCTGCATTTTAAAATTACTTCAAATTTCTTCCAAGGATGGATTACTGTTGTGTATGGAAGACACAATTATATAACAAGAAAAGATCTCTGGAACGGTTTAACTGCTATATCATCAAATATGACAGAACCCTGGCTTGTTGGCGGAGATTTTAATGCTATTTCAAGTTACAATGAGCATAGTGGAACTGATATGCCTACTCTTACAGGAGTTAACGATTTTGCAAATTGTATTGCAGCATGTAACTTAATTGATTTGCCTCATAAGGGCCCTAGATAGTTAGGGCTAATGGCTGGGTGTGGAGAAGGTTGGACAGATGTCTACTTAACACTGAATTTATTGATAAATTTAATTCTATTCAGATTTCCCTTCTTAACAAGACACCTTCTGATCATAATCCAATGCTTGTACAATTGGAGAATAAGAATTCTTCAGGCCCTAAATCCTTTAGGTTCCAAAATATGTGGTTGGCTCATTCTAATTTTATGGCTTTGATTTCTAACAAATGGCCAACCTATTCTTCTGGTGGTGGTATGAGGGGCTTGGTCTACAAGCTACAATGTCTCAAAAAGGATTTGAAAATTTGGAACAAGGAGATCTTTGACTATATATTTGAAGATATAAAATATTATGAGAATGAGGTCTTATAGGCTGAAAAAGCTAATGAAGAAGATCCTGGGGAATCAATTAGGTAAGCTTGGGCCTACAAAAGGGGTAAATTATACCGTACAGCCGGCTGTACGGTGAGCACCGTACAGCCGGCCATTTTTTGCAATTAAATCTGGGCTCTGCAACTTATTGGTGTCTTTGGTGAAGCACAACAGATCTGAGCGAGAATCTGAAGCACACGATGAGAACCGACTGAGGGCTTATGATGCTGAATAATGCTCCGCTTATGTAATTGAATCAAAATCATGCTTCCCTTCGTGATTTGCAATTCAGATTTAAGAATACAGATTGCAACTCATGAAAAATACTTTTGTTTGGATGAAACTCGTTTTTGCCTTTTGGCCGATTCCCATTTTTTCTTTTCTCTTTGCTTTTCTTCGCTTTTACTTGTTTCCTTCATTGTTTTTCTTTATTTTTTATTTTAATCTTTATTCAATTATAAAATATTTTAGATATTAATGTTTTGTTTTTCTATAACTCATTTTGTAAGTTACGAATGTTCATTTATATTGGTTTTATGCTCATTTTAAAATGTTATATCAATACATAAATAATAATGAGCAGTGAGTACGATATAAATGAGTTTTATGTTAAATTCAAATGAGTATAACGTCCAAAATGAATTACTACACACAAATGAGTTTTTGAATTTTTTGATACTCATTTTGTATGTTTTGTATGCTCATTTGACACTGTATTATGCTCATTTTAAAAAGTTGCACATTTCAAACATATCATGCTACATTAAATTCACATTAGAAATGAGTTTTATGTTAAACTCAAATGTCCAAAACGAATGAGCACGCACAAATAAGCTTTTGATTTTTTTGATGCTCATTTTGTAAGTTATGTATGATCATCTGATGATGCTTTATGCTCATTTTAAAAGGTTGCACATTTCAAACATATCATACTACATTAGATTCACATATTAAAATGAATTGAAATTGATTATAGACATAACTTAAGACTTTTTAATAAACGAAAAAATAATAAACAGAAAGTGATATATAAGGTATGAAGCAGAGATCACTGATGCTCATCGTTAGACTCCTAATACTCAAAAGAATATGTTTGATGCTCATCAAAATTGCATCAATGCTCATTTCAGAGAATCTGCGATTTTCACAAAAATTACAATTTTGCCACCGGATGTACAGTGGTCACTGTACAGCCGGCTGTACAGTATACGGACTCTACAAAAGGAGTTTACTTATTAATTATTATAAATTGGAGAGGAAATTCTGGCAACAGAAAGCCCATATCAGGTGGATTAAGGATGGAGATTTCAATACAAAGTTTTTTCACTCTTTTGTCAAGTTTTTGAAAGAAAACTGCGTTTTATATGTATATTCCGGACCAGTTTTCTTTCAAAAATCATTTGACGACCTTCCCGATTGAAGTTTTTGCTCAAATTTGGTATGGATGAACTAGACTTGATGAGGAACATACACAAAAATTTTCAGCCAAAAATACCACCGGTTGTCAGGGGTTCTCACGGGTTCTCATTTTAAGAGGGGTTCTCACTAGAAGCCTCCCCTATATATATATATATATATATATATATATATATATATATATATAAGGGAAAGATCAAGTACAAACTGTGCTTGTTGTGCAAATGTTTGTAGGATTCAAACTGTGTTGCATATTAACGTTCAACGAGTTGCACCCTAGAAAAGTTAGGTTTTATTACAAAAATGCCACCTTGCCCTTATATCCTTTAGATCAACTCATCGGATGGTCAAGATAAGTTTGTACTTTGTAAATTAAGCATGGTTTGTATTTGATCTCTATTATATATATATATATATATATATACATATATATATAAGGAGAGAAATAAGAATAAATCACACTCATCCAAATTGGAACATCTACGGTGCTGATTAATTGTTAGACGGTGGCATAATTGAGATTAAGCTAATGTTCGGAATATACTAACGGAGATATTTCACGTTAACGTCCACTTAAAGGGCGGTTATATAAATGCTTACTCCGTATTAAATTACTAGTAATAACATTCCACTTTCCTTTTTAAAAGGCGGTTATATCAAATCTAATTAACAACCAACCATTCACGTGAAACAACTACATCACCTAGACCAATTATTATATAGAGTGCTTGAATTTGCTTTATTTTAATATTTTAGTATGATAATTTTCCATAAAAAGTCAGATACATATTATTGATCATTTTAGAATGATTACTTTTAATTGTATAATTTGTTATCGTAATAGTTTAGTTGAAATATGCAATTTTTACTCCAAAGTGTGCATGTATATTATTCTAGTTGTGCATTATATTGCAAAATTATAAACTTTTATCATTAACTATATTATTGTGCATTATACATAATTAAAAGCAAACATGCACTTTTAAAATTATTTTTGTGTACTTTGATCCTTCATTTCTGCACATTTATTACTAATCGGACTATTATATATGTACCTTATGTGATCTTGTATAAGTCATGAATATGATGTTATTAAGAGGGTAGTCATAATATATTTTCTACTTCAGATACGATGAAAATGAATTTGCACCTTAATTATCTCTCAGTGCAAATGAAAATGGTCCAGAACGATGCATGTTATGCTTTATGGTGATGCACATTTATGAGTAAAATAGTGCACAGTTCGTATTTTCCCATATATGGTTAAAATAATGCACGGTTCAAATGCACATTTTCTAATTTTTGGTAGTGCACATTTTTGTTTCACCTAATGCACAATACTCAAATCCAATGTTCCGAATCATTCTCGTTTTCATCTTAGATCGTGTTATCATTTGATCCTAATTCTAAGGGCTGAATCCTATGAGAAAAGTTTTTCCCGTGAGAAAGAGAATGATCCAAAAGATGCACAATATAGTTCACAGAGGTGCACGTTATGATTAAAACAATGCAAAGTTAAAATATGCACATTTGTGATAAAATAAATGCACGTTTCCGTTAGTGGCTTGAGATTTTGCATATTTTTGTTTCACGTCATGCACAATTGTTAGCGATCAAATTCATTTTCATTCAATTTCTTTTTTAGATTGCTATCTTATTTTATTCAAATTGTATTATTATACCATTTACCAAAAAATTGTTTACTATAATTCTTTAGATCTCTATATAATAATATATACTACGCATAATTTAGTGTTTTAAATGTTGTTAATATCTATATTTACCAAAACAAATGTAGTTAGTTTCTATTGTGATAAATGTTTAACTACAATGTGCAATATTATCCCTATAGAGTGCAACTCTATTGTTCATGCATTGCAATCAAAATAAGTGTTCACTTACATTGTCAAGTGCACAATTGTGCATATCCATACTTTTAAATAAATAAATAATTATCGTTAGTAATTAATTTTATAATTTCCATTATTGCTAGCTTAACAAGCATGCACTTTTAATAACATTATAGTGCCCGCTATTAGCATTATATTGCAACTTTATTCGTTTGCAGATTTTTTCCTATAACTAATAAATTTATCCATAATAATAATAATAATAATAATAATAATAATAATAATAATAATAATAATGGATTCTCTAATGGCCTAATGGATAGGCCTTCAAACTTACGCTAAGTAAGTTTAGTGCATATAGATTCCCTAATGGATTGGCCTTCAAACTTATGCTAAAAATTAAATGAATCTAAACCAAATGTAAACTAATAAATGTATTACGAATTAGAAATATTGGGGTACGTGTAAGTTAAGTACTTAAGAAAATAAACAGATGCCATGTGTTAAGACTTAAGACATGCGAAATATAAGGAAAGAGCGAAAAGTTAATAAACCACTAACGGTGTAGTTAAGGCATACCGTTTGTCCGTTTACGCATTTGGTTAAATCAAACTTAATTAACGATGGAGATGCATTCTTATTTCTCTCATAAGATGCTATTCTCATTTGATCTCTACTCTATATATATATATATATATATATATATATATATATATATATATATATATATATATATATAGAGGAATGTTCAGGTCCGAACATTCTCCGTCCGAGCACCGTCCCAACATGGACGTTTGGGCCACTTCCCGGTGGCATTTTTTGATGAAATGTTTTGAGCATGTTCATCATCAAGTCTAGTTTGTCCATACCAAATTTCAGCTCAAAATTCGATCTGGAAGGCATTCAAATCATTTTTTGAAGTTGACTGCGTCAAAATGTACATATAAAAATGCAGTCAACTTCAAAAAATTATTTGAATGTCTTCCCAATCGAAGTTTGAGCTGAAATTTGGTATGGACAAACTAGACTTGATGAGGAACATGCTCAAAAAATTTCATCAACAAATTCCACCGAGAAGAACC